GTAGTCTTGTGTGATTGTTTGGATGTCCGTAGTCTTGTGTGATTGTTTGGATGTCTGTAGTCTAGTGTGATTGTTTGGATGTCCATAGTCTTGTGTGATTGTTTGGATGTCCATAGTCTTGTGTGATTGTTTGGATGTCTAGTCTGGTGTGATTTTTTGGATGTCTGTAGTCTAGTGTGATTGTTTGGATGTCTGTAGTCTTGTGTGATTGTTTAGATGTCCGTAGTCTTGTGTGATTGGTTGTATGTCCGTAGTCTAGTGTGATTGTTTGGATGTCTGTAGTCATGTGTGATTGTTTGGATGTCCGTAGTCGTGTGTGATTGTTTGGATGTCCGTAGGCTTGTGTGATTGTTTGGATGTCTGTAGTCTTGTGTGATTGTCTGGATGTCCGTAGTCTTGTGTGATTGTTTGGATGTCCGTAGTCATGTGTGATTGTTTGGATGTCTGTAGTCTTGTGTGATCGTTTGGATGTCCGTAGTCTCGTGTGATTGTTTGGATGTCCGTAGTCTTGTGCGATTGTTTGGATGTCCGTAGTCTTGTGTGATTGTTTGGATGTCTGTAGTCTAGTGTGATTGTTTGGATGTCTAATCTGGTGTGCCTTTCAAATTTATCATCCATTAATGACATTTGACAGGAACTCTCTTGATATCATAGCATCATAAAGTATCTTAGATCCTTAACAGAAAATTTATCATAAAATACAAGCGATGTAACCTATCCAAACTGGGCAAGACTGACCAAACCCCACCCTATACAGCCTAGGACCTACTTCAGATCTTGCTGATACAGATTTTTAAACCACAGTGCACTAGAAATGATACAATGGAACGAATTTTGAGTTTAAAAATTGAGTTTAAAGTATTTGCAAACCTTATCACAAAATAGTGCAAAACTTAGATTATGACAGATTTTTTTTAAAGATCTCCTAGTTACTGCAGGGTGTGTGTAATGAACATAACAGGTGTGTCTTAATCAAATGATCTCCTAGTTACTGCAGGGTGTGTGTAATGATCATAACAGGTGTGTCTGAATCAAATGATCTCCTTGTTACTGCAGGGTGTGTGTAATGATCATAACAGGTTTGTCTGAATCAAATGATCTCCTAGTTACTGCAGGGTGTGTGTAATGATCATAACAGGTGTGTCTGAATCAAATGAATAATTTTTGGAGGTATTCTGACACACAGGAAGGGAAAGATAAATTGAGCAAAGCAGTTTCATTTGCATTTCATGCACTTTCTCCCTCATGGGAAATGTGGAATGAGGGAGATCTCCCCCATTGGAGGTTTCAGAGGTTGACACCTTTCACCGACAGACCCAATTGAGCCATAAAACCATTCTGGATAACAGCTGTAAATGACCCTGCTTTTGTTTCATTATTTTTTAGTATTAGTACGGTAACCACACACACAGGGCCAGGCCTACAATAGCTTGTACTTCATCATCAGACTGCAGCCCCACATATCTCTAATGAAACACATGCCTCTCTGTTTTTATTACTAAGTGCGGCAATACTTTTCCTGTGTTGCGAGCAAATCTTTTTTGTCTATATAATTAACACATAGAACAAATATTCTGAGTCTCTTTTCTTTTGGGGGAAAAAACCACTCTTTTATTGCTTATATATAATTTCTTCCTTCTTATGTATAAGGTCTTAGAACATCTCCCTGTAACTCTCACACCCTTTGTGGTTTTTCTCGTATACATTCAGAGCAAACTTAGCTATAACGTACCGTCTATTTCATTTTGTCTAGTCGACAATTTTTTGGTGAATACTCCATGATTACAACAGAATTCCACAAGTCAAACCTCATTTGATCATTTCTGCCATATTGCCTCATGAAAGCAGAAATATATATGATAAACTTTACCATTAAAAAAAAAATCTACGACTAGTCAAAATATATGGGAGATGCATGTAAATGTATCGTTAAAGATGATGGGCAAAATAATGTATGAAAAACCTTCTTAGTTGTTATTAATATTTGAGAGAAATTCTCAAATTGTATTTTTATACAATGAGCAGAGATTTTCTGCTCAGCTAGAATAATTAAATAACATCTGGCTTCTGAAATTTTGTTAAATATTCGTTCATTTTATCAACAAACAGCATAACCAGTCCACGAAAAAAAAGCAGAATAAGTGTACTGTTTAGGAATTTTTATTATAAAGTTTTCAGAATAAACTTTCCTAAGTTGGTCATTTTTTATTTTCTTATCCTCCTATCATCCTGTGTTTCACATTAAATGGAATCTAAAACAAGAATTCATATCTTTTCAATCGTAAATCATCATTCATCCAGACCATTTTTTTTAAGGCAGTTGTAATATATACAAAATGAAAAAGAGATCAGATACCAGCAAATTGACAAGTACGTAGATCTTCAAATTATTATCTGAACACTCATCACTGAACCACATGATTCCAAATGGAGACGATAAATATTGTAAAACACCTTTATTTTGCTCAACCTTCATTCCCAGCAGACAATATTCCCCCGATAGATATTTCTGGTTATTACAGTGCCTTACGACAGCCAATCATGCCCAGACAGACAGACATTTGTTCGTAAGTCTAGATTCTGTAATTTTAGGAAATTTAAACCTACTCGACTTTGTTACAACACCCTCAAGGAACCGTCAAATGTTTCCCACTTAAACGTAATGTGCTCAATCAACATTGTGTAATAATCCCTGTTGATAAAAAGGTCTAAAGAAATTGTTTTATGTAGCTGTTCAAATCTCTTGAGGTGTCAAACCGTTTAAGGTAAAGGGACTATTGGTTTCAAGGATTTGTCAAAAATGATGTAACGTTTGTTGTTTTATGAGTTTTATATATATCTCTCTAGCAATCCCACAGCAATGAGCTGAAGAGCTGTATTTGTCATTTCACTAAACTGTTACAAATTACACAGCTTTTAGCCGAGGGCAAACACCAATAATTTTAACATGGCTGGTAAATACATTAAAACAGGTAAGATAAATACCAGCCTTGTCCAGGGTAATGTGTGGTGACCACGTCAAGGTAATCAAACCAAAGGTCAGATCAAGGCATTGGGCCTTCATTGTCGAACCAATTACACATTGAGTCAAACTGACCCCTCTTCTTGTGTACTCGTAGAGAAGGTGTAATTATTTCTATATATACAAAATACATCCCCATGTTCTCAAGGCATCAGTAAGGACCTAGAGGTATATATATATATATAGACCCTGGTCCAAGCTAAAGGGCCAAATTAAGGCATCAGAATTTAAGAAACATTTTATACTTGTATAAAATATATGTAATAACACTCAAGAATACAATTTCCAGAAATCTTTCACAGTGATAATATTAACTCATTCATCCCTGATCTCTTATGATGAACTACTCCAACCTTTGAATTGGTAGAGTTCAAATGTGTCTTCAGGGGTGAATGAGTTATATACAGTTTTACGCAACCTCTACAGAAAACTAGAAATACTACATGAATTGGGAATTACTTCTAAAAGACAAAGTGCCTCCCTTATTTATATCCGACGGTTTCGTGCACGGTGTACATATAATTGTCACGATCACGGTCTTTTAGCATTTATGCTTTCTTA